ATGGCCGCCGCGCCCCCGCGCCGCCGCTCGCCGCGCGCGGGCGCGGCCGCGCCGCGGGGGAAGAGCCAGGCGAGCCGCCCGCGCGCGGCGGGTGCGCGCGTCGTGGCGGCGCGGCCGCGGCCCCAGCGCGGGCGTTCCGGGTGGAGCGCCGCCCGCGGCCCAGCATCGGCCGGCGGAGGAGGAGGAGGAGGAGCAGGAGGAGGAGGAGGTGGAGGAGGAGGACGAGGAGGAGGAGGAGGAGGGAGGAGGAGGAGGAGGAGGAGCAGGAGGAGGAGGTGGAGGAGGAGGACGAGGAGGAGGAGGAGGAGGAGGAGGAGCAAGAGGGGAAGCAACGGTCGAGTTCGAGGTGGAACGATCCGCGCGGTACCTGAGACCAGCGCCGGGGCGGCCACGACGCGTGCCGGCCACATAGTTGCAACGTCTCGGGGGCGCCGCTCGCCCTTTTCGAGTAGGAACTCCTCATGGCCTCGGCCGGGCTTCCCCGGTCTGGAGTTAAGGCGGACCTGTCCCTCTACAGGAGGAATGTTCAAAAATAGTCTGGGGACGACTTTTCGATGACTGTTTTAACTGATGTTTTGCATGTTTTGCGTATTTTTAAGTTTTCGCCCAAAATCAGCCCGCCTGTAGGGGGGCGTGCCCGACCGAAGTCTGGAGTTTTCCTGCCCAGAGCGCGTCCCTGGGCACGCCCAGGGGTCGGAGCTCGAGGGCGAGACCCGGACCTTGGCGCATCCCTCTACGGGAGGAGTAGTCAAAGACAGTTTAAAACAAATCGTCTAGGGAGCGTTGTTTTACTACGTTCGAATAGTTTCGATTTGTTCTGGGTATTTTAATTTGTCGTCCAAAATCCGCCTGCAGGGGGGCGTGCCCGACCGAAGTCTGGAGTCTTCCTGCCCAGGGCGCGTCCCTGGGCGCGCCCGGGGGTCGGAGCTTGAGAGGGCGAGACCCGGACCCCGGCGCGTCGTGGCGGAGCCGCGGCGGGAGGGCACGCGGGTGGAGTCGGGCGTGTCCCTGTACAGGAGTCCCTCTACAGACCCAGACCCCCTCGGGCAATGAAAAAATCACGACGCGAGGTTTTTCGCTATTTTCGACCTTCGGGGGCCCTTGCCAGGCCTCGGGACCATCAAAAAACGACTCGGGACGAAAAGCCGGTCCCGGGGAAGGGGACCAGACCTCTGGGGACGATGTTTCTACTATTTTCGAATATGTTTGATTTGTTCTAAGTATTTTTAATTTTTCGTCCAAAATCCGTCTGTAGGGGGACATGCCCGACCTAACACTCGGCGGGAAAAGCCGATCCCGTAGAAGGGGTCCAGGCCTCTGCTCTGGTAGTCTTTGTCGTGCAGAATCACGCTACGTCGGGGGTGTCGGTCGGGGTGAATGTGGGGGGCGGCAAAGAGGGGGGTGATGACTAGGGGGAGGGAAATCATGGCGGGGATCATGATATCTCCCCAGATTTCATGGCGCCTTTTCTTATTTCAATACGTCCCTCCCCCCCCCCCCGGCCGCGCACATGCACCTGGCCATGATTTGACGCCCCCCTCCTGGCCGACCCCGAGACTGGTTCTTCCTCCAGGACGTCTGGGCGCTGCAATTTGTTCACCCTGGGGCTTCCTGCGCCTCCTCCTCCTCCTCCTCCTCCTCCTCCTCTTCCTCCTCTTCCATTCCTTCTCCTTATAGATAACTCCTCCCTGTCGCACCCCGAGGCAAGTTTTAGGGCGGGCCGGGCGTTTCGCTTTAGACTTCCTCACCACTTATGATTCTGAAGCTTAAGAAGCGACAGCAGTTTCACATATTGAGGGCGGGTCGTTTTCTAAATGTGGCTCTCGCCTTAGCGCTGCGCACATTCGGTTTCAAAATTTGCAAGACCTTCACGGATTCAGGGCGGGTGATTTTCAAATTGTGGTTCTCGCCTTTAGCGCCGCGCACACTCCTCTTAAACATTTGCAAGACCTTCACGGATTGAGGGTGGGCCGTTTTCAAAATGTGGTTCTCGCTTTAGCGACGCGCATAACCCTGGGGTTAGTCGTTTCAAATTTGCAAGAGCTTCACGGATTGAAGGCGGTTCATTTTCAAAATGTGGTTCTCGCCTTAGCGCCGCGCACATGCTTTTTCAAAATGTGCAAGAGTTTCGCGGGTTCCCATGATCAACGTATTAGAATGTTGTTTTGGAAGGGTTCAGGATTATGCGGGTGCAACAGTTCTGTTGATTCGCGGTGTTGAAGTCCTAAAAATGGCGCTCTGGCACGATTCCAGAGGTTGATACGTGGCGTTGAAAGCCCGAGAACCATGTTTTGGTACGCTCCAGGATCTTCAAACGGTTGTCTTCCAACGAGGCAGTTCCCTCAATGGAAATGAAGGGGCTTATGAAGAGGGAGCTTGGAGGAAGAGTTAATTCCAACATCGTTGACGACTTTTGGTTTTACACTGGTCCTCTTCCTCCTCCTCCTCCTCTTCCTCCTCCTCCTCCTCGTCCTCCTCCTCCTGGTAATTAGGGGGCCTCTGGAGGAAGCTCTTCGCAAATGTCAGCCTTACGGAGGACCGTTCTGGACACTCACAGCCCAATCCGGGATGGAAAGCTTGCCAGGATGGACCACGAGGGGGTCCGGGGATAGATTTCGAGAAAGCGGAGACACCTGCTGCCCAGACCCCCATCGGGTCATGAAAAAATCACGACGGGGAGTCTTTCGCTACTTTCGGCCTCCGGGCGCCCTTCACCGGCCCTCGGGACCGTGAAAAAACGAGTCAGGACGAAGAACCGATCCCAGGGATTGGGTCCAGACCTCCGGGGGCCGACGTCATGAAAGAATCATGACGTTGGGGGCGTGGGTCCCGCGCCGAGCCGCGACAGAGCGCGACGGCAGATCTTTGGCCGCACTCGGCTTCCGGGAGGCCTCCACCGCGCCCCGAGGCCGTGAGAAGGCGGCTCGCCCGTCCCGCGGAGGGGGGTCGAGGCCTCCAGGGCCCGCGGGGCGGTGCGAAAGCGGCAGCGCGACGTCGGGGGGCTGCGCCCCCTGCTGCCCCGCCTGCCCCCGTCTGCCCTCTCGCCACCCTCCTGGCCCCCCACTCCTCCGTCTCGTGCCCCCTTCCCCTCCTCATCCTCCGGCCCCTCCCCCTCCTCGGACTCCGACTCCCCATCCCTCCTCCTCCTCCTCCTCCTCCTCCTCCTCCTCCTCCTCCTCCCCCTCCTTCTCCTTCCCGTCCCTATCCCTCCTCTTCCTACTCCTCCTCCTCCTCCTCGCCCTCCTTCTCCTTCCCCTCCCTATCCCTCCTCCTCCTACTCCTCCTCCTCCTCGCCCTCCTTCTCTCCACCTGCACCGCTCGCCCCGGAGCCCCCGAGACGCATGCCCACAGGGCAAGACTGCCGCGGCGAGGGCGCCGGAGCGGAAGGTGAACGGCGAGGCCCCTCCTCCCCCGGTCGGTCGTTGTCGTTGTCGTTGTCGTTGTCTGGGCATAACAACCGTTGTCATGTGGCACAATGTTCCAGGGGCGAGGTGGCTTGAGGTTTTCCCCTCCGTCCTCCCCTCCCCAGATTTCTGGGGATTTCTCGCAAAATTCGTGACCGAGATTAATTAATCTCGGTCATAAATCGCTCGGGACTTGGTCGGCCCTGACCTGGTGATCCTTTCATGTGGTAGCCACTTGGGCTCAAGCCACTCTCGTCACACCTCTTCACTTTTCGCATCCTCCAGCTTCCCATAATGGCTGCCAGCTGGACGGCGGAAGAGTGGCGCACGTTCCTGCAGTCAGTGGATGAGCAGGCAGCGGCGCCGGAGGTGGTGACGGAGGTGGTGACGTTCTTGATGTCTGTCTCCCCCGCGATACCCTCGAGCTGTGCGTTGGAAGGGATCACCGAATCGGAGTTGATTGCGGTTGACGGTGCACCGACGGGCATCGCCTCACGGGGCCTCCTGCGCAGGGCGCTTCGGACGGTGGAGTGTGTCGCCCAGGCGAAGCGCCAGACGGCTGCGGGCGCGAACGCTGCCCCGCAAGCTGCGGCCGGAGCCGCTGGTGGTGCCGCTGGGCCCCCGCCTGGGGGGAGCGCCCTGGCCTTGGCCTCCCAGTGGCAGCCTCCCGCGGCGCCGACTGTGGATGTGCGGGACCTGTTGACGAAGGCTAAGCTGGAGAAGCTCCCGTTCCACATGCAGCCCGAGCAGGCGGTGTTCGAGTCTCTGAACAAGGACACGATGGCGGCGCGCGCCCAGGAGCGCAAGCCGTTCGCGTACGTGGACCTCACGTCGAAGGAGGTACTTCCTCTGTGGCTGCCCATCGAGTCGATCGGCGGCAAGCTCGCGCTCGCTGGGGAGAACGAGTTGCTCAACGCCGAGAGCTCGACGGCCACGTTGTCGCAGCTCCAGAACGCATTGAAATCGGCTACGTCAAGTCCGCGATTTTTCCGCACGCTGGGACAATGGTCATCGGCATTCCTGCGGTATGGCATCGTCGCGGTGGCCACGGAACAGCTCACGCTCGCGCAGATGATCTGCCACCACGACCTGATCATGCAGCTCGAGGAGTCCGAGCGGGCAGCGGGCTCCTCCCCCTTGCTCGCGGTCATCTACGACGAGATGGTGAGGAAGGCCTGGTCCACTCGAGCTGCACGCAAGGACCTGGAGTTTGTCCTCGATGACCTTGTCCAAGTCCAGGACAAGCCCGTCTTGACAGCCGCGCGCGGCAGGCTGGCGAGCGCGCTTCGGACGGCGGGGACCCAGGGCAGCGACAGCGCGAGGCCAAGGGCGGACACCGCGACAGAGCAGGAGTCCATCTTGGCCAAACAACAGGCGGCGATTGACGCCCTGACGAAGCGGGCCAATGACGCGTCCAAGCAGGTGGCGCAGCAGCAGGAGGCTTTTCGCCAGGGGGCTTTTCGGAACTCGGGAGGGCCAGAGTCCGCGGGTCAGCCAGGCCCGAAGCGCCCGGCAGGCGGCGCGACGCAGACCCCGCGCCAGATCAAGAAGCAGAAGTTCTTCGAGCGGGTCCAGAGCTACAAGCGCGAGCAGCAGCAGGCGCGGCGCTGAGCATGGCGCGCCCGCGCACTGCTCACCCTTTCAGGAGCCTTTCGTCCATCGTGGGGGAGGGGCGCCCAAAGGGTTGCACCCACTGGAGCATGTGCAATGGGCCCGTTCGGTGGACCATCCGATGTTCGGGTGCGGCCCCGAGTTGGAAGGGGACTTGCAGGCTGCTTTGAGTTGGGTTGCTGAAACACTCCCCACGTGGTTGATGAATTCCGAAGGTCTGGGCCAAGGCAGTTTTTGGCGCTTGCTGGGAGTCTCGAGAGGGAGCGGGAGGAGTGGGTCCGTCGGGCGCCACCCCAGAGTAGAGCCCTGGTAGGTTTGCTGCATGGGTGCGCTTGGGGAAGATCCTTCAATGGCCCGATGCGTCCCTCTCCAGTCACCTGCATGGGTTCCCCCTGGCAGGTGTGCTCCCTCCGCAATTTACTCTCAGCGGTGAGGAAGCCTCAAAAGGCCTGCCGCTAGATGAGCTGGTTGGCGCTATCCCGATCTGGAATCGGGAGGTGCTGAGCCACCTCAAAGACCTACCATACTCCCAGGACGCAGGCCCTGACGTTGATAAGGACGTGGCGCTTGGGGCCATGCTCCCACCGTCCGTCTCGCCCCAATCCACGTCGACAATTTGTTGCTGATGCGCCGCATCCCCGTCCGCGAGCAGCGCCCGTCGGGGTGGAAGACGCGGATTGCGGACCTGGCACGGAGTGCGGGCTAATGGCCACACCCTGTTGTCCGACACGATGTCGCGCGATCGGTTGACGTGCTCGTTGAAATCGAGCTCCAACTCATGCGTGCAGGCGCTCGGGAGCTGTTTAAGTGGAAAAGGGACGTGCGGAGAGCTTTTAAGCGCGTGCCTGTCATGTCTGCTCATGCCTGCCTTAGCGGCTCGGTTTGGCAGCATGGCGAGGACGCATTTTTCTCCCAGCATCTTGGCATGCCTTTCGGGGCGACTAGTGCTGGGCAGGGGTGGCGTAGGTTGGCCAATCTTTGGATGGCGACCGGCCGGCGCCTGCTCCGGGTGACTGGGGGGAGGCATGTTGATGATGTTTTTGGGGCGGACCCCGCGGGTTGCACAGTCACCGGGGGCTTTTGCGTAGACGTCGTAAGTCGCGTGATGGGGCTAACCCTGGATGCAGGTCAGGCTGAGGACACGCTGCAAGGCCTCATTGCGCTGGGGGCGCTTGTGCGGGACTCCCCTTTAGACGGGCGGGTGTCCGTTCAAGTCGCGCCAGAGAAGGCGGCGCTTTGGCCCCCCCTCCTCTCTGCCTACCTCGACGCAGGCCGTTGCAGTGCCAGTGAGAGCGGCAAGATGGCCAGTCGGCTCAGTTTTGCTGTCACGCTGGCCGCCGATCGAGTCGGCGGGGCATTTATCGGCCCTTTTTATGCCCAGCAGCACGATCCGATGCCCCAGTCAAGTCTGTCACGCCGGTGGCGGTGGGCCGCCTCGCGGTGGCTGCAGCACCTGCAGTCTCGCCCCCCCGCGATGCGATCGGCGCAGGATCGGTCGCGGGAGCAGGTCATCCTGCGGACGGATGCGTCGGGGGAGGCCCGGGGGCTCGCGGCGGTGTGCTGCTTCAGGGGGCAGTTTCTGTGCACCCATGCTCGAGTCCCTGAGGCCGTCTGGGCCCAGCTGCTCCCGCGGGGGGGCCACCAGATCGGATTTCAGGAGATGCTCGCGGTGGTGTTGGGCCTGTTCACGTTTAGAGCCCAGCTTCGCGACAGTTTGACGTTGCTCTTTATAGATAAATAATGATGGGGTGCGGGAGGCCTTGATGCGGAGGGGTCCGCGGGGGCCCCCGAGGTCAATGCGCTGCCTGGGCGGGCTTGGCTCTGGTGTGCCGAGTGGCGCGTGGGCGTTTACTCGGTCAGAGTTGAGAGCAAGGCGAACGTCGCTGACGGGCCCTCCCCCTGTGACTGTTCGTTGTTGCATCGGCTCCAGGCCAGTTTTGTTCCCCCCTGAATTCCCCGCGTGGTCCCATCAGCTATGGACTGGCTGCTAGCTTGGATTACGGTCACTTGCCGGAGAAAATAAATGATGCGTCTCCGTTGTTGCGCAATGAGCTGCGAGGGTCTCGATTGGAAAAAAGTGAGGGCCTCGAGTGACATTGCGCTGCTGTGCTCTGCTTCCCCGCATCGGCCCAGCTCGAGTCCTTCCTCGTCGGGCGGCGGCCGGCTGCGAGCGGGGCCCAGGATGCCTCCTGACAGCCAGGCAGGGCCCCGGGGGCGCAGACCGAGGCATTGACCAATATCCGCGACAGCCTAGTGGAGGCTTTCGTGGAAGGGGGCCCCTTGCACCGCATTCCAGGGCTTCTCAAGCGTCTCAAGGGGCTGCCGCTGATGCCGGAGGAGTTGCTGCACACAGGGTTGGGCGTGCTCCTGAACGACTCGGATTCTAAGAGGCGCCTGGACGTGACCTCCCTCACCATCGTGAATGTCTTGCTGGAGGGGTGGCAGTCACAGGCTCGCTCGTGCCGCTCTGGGTCTCTTCGAGGTCGCGTCCACCAGCCGTTCGCGGGCCTCGCCGGGTCGCGCTTCCAGCAGGCAGCTCTGGATTTGGAGCCCTGGTTTGTGCAACTTGACGGTCTCGGGGCCGCGGAGGTCCCGGTGGCGGACAGACAGAAGTATAGGAAGACGGCAACTCTTCTGTCTCTGTTGCGCGTGGTTTCGTGGCAGCACTTGGACGGCGTCGACCCCGAGGACATTGCCCGTTACGGCAGGGGCCCCTTCGAGCGCGGCCTGCTTCGACGCGCCGCCATGGAGGCAAGCGCGAAGGGGAGGCAGAAACGAGCTCGGATCGAGAGGGCCACGCCAGTGTCCACGTCTTGTCTGCCTGATTCGACAGTGTCGTCGCGCTCTTCCGTTTGTCCGCCGTTCTCGGCAACGTGCGCTTCTGCCGACGCGGTGGCATCCCGCCTCTCCGAGCAGCACGTGAACGCGGTGGAGAAGGAGGTGCAGGCCCTCGGTGGACAGATAGGCTTAGCGGCACTCGGTTCGTCCCAGCCGAGGGCCATCATCACGCAGTTGGGGGCTGCTTCTGTGCGGTCGCAGGGCGTGACTACTGATGTGTTGAGGGCTAGAGGACAGATCATGCGCGTGGAGACGAATCGGCGGAGCCTCGCCTCAGGGGCATCTGCACTCCGAGCGTGGCACGCTTTTGCTGTCAGTGTGCTCAAGTATGATAGCGAGGACACCCTTCCACCGAAGTGCGAGGACCATGTATTGCTGTTTCTGGCCATCTTCCAGAATGCAGGAACGGCTCGCAACTATTGCACTTCCTGCATTGGGCGCGCGTGGAGCAAGGCGTGGACGTGTCCTGGCACGGCCCGCGCGCAGTGCAGCAGGTGAAGGGTTTGGCTAAGATGCAGATCAGATTGAATGGGGAACAATGTCCGA